AAAAAAAAAAGGGTCCAGACCCGAAACATCAGTTTTCTTGCTCCTCTGATGCTGCCTGGCCTGCTGTGTTCCTCCAGCTCGACACCTTGTTATCTCAGACTCCAGCATTGGCAGTTCCTACTATCATTGATTAGGACATATTTGGGATACTGTGCACATTTCTAGTCTCCATATTATGAAAAAGTTTTGGAGGAATTGGAGAAGACACAAAAATAGTTCTGATATTGTCCTTAAGATTCTAAGAGGATGGAACTATGAGGAAAACTGACAGTTGTGGCTCACACTTTGAGAACTCCAAAGGGAGGCCTAATCTCTTTAATGAAAGTGTTTAATAGAATAGACTTGAGAAAGTCATTCTACTCTTAAAAAAAAATTCAAAACTGTGTCATAATTACAGAGAAAATCATTACTAAATCAAATAGAGAATTCAGGAAAAACACCTTAATTCCCTAAATAATGTGCTACCAGAAGACCTGTAGTTGAGGCAAATAACAGGAATGCATTTGAAAGGAAGTTAGATAAGCACATAAGAAAGAAACAAATAGAAGCTTGACCAACACAAGGGGAGTTTGAATAATCCACTGAGCCGTAGGATTTTAAATGAGAAATCATCTGTTTTAACTTGCCATTATTTGTAATTTGGGTGTGACTGATCCTGTGTATTTTTCCTTGGTCTTAAAATTTTGCTGACCTGTGATATTTGAAGGTATAGTGAGAAGCATTTTAGTCATTACTTTTTAAAGATACACCCTAAATATTGAACACACAATTAAGCATTTTTTAACAATGTAACCCATCTTGAAATTATTTCTATTTGCGTTAGATTAAGCAAAAATCATAATTAATGTTTCTATGTCCTCAATAGTTGCCTGAATGACTGTATTAAGATATGCTGCACTTAGCTCATTAGGACTACCCAGATTCCACGTTCAAATCTTGGCATGGCTGTATGTTGCTGGATTTCTGTCCAAAGGGCCACTTGTTCAGTAGTTTGGGATGTCTTATTGCATAGAAGAGGTATATGATTGCTATTGTTTTATAACACAACTCAAAGTAGTTTGATCAACTGTCTTTATCCAACATTAGTTGTTATCAAATTGCATCTTCAAGGATCCAGTGGTGTTTTCAAGATATCGGAAGCAGACCTTAAAATACAAGAGCTACAATTTGGACCATTGCCAATGCTACATGATTCCATTTGCATTCTTACCTTATCCACACCATAACTTAAACTCCACTGGTTCCAGACACAGGAATAACATATTATCATGGATAGAAGATTGCCTGCCTGCCTGCCAGGCAGAGTATATGTAAATGTTTTTCCTTCATATTGGCAGGATGTGACAAGTTGAGTCCTGCAAGGGTTTGTGCAAGGCTGTCAACATTTTACAATTTAAATCAATTACTTTTGTCAAATCTCTATAGTGCGGAAGCAGGCCATTTGGCTCATCAAGTTTGGCCCAAAGAGCATGCCAACCAGACCTACACCCCTGCCCTATCCCTGCATTTCCCAAGGCTAATCCACCTAGCCTGCACATCCCTGGACATTCTGGGCAATTTAACATGGCCAATCCACCTAACCCCCACATCGCTGGACTGTGGATGGAAATCAGAGCACCTGGAGGAGACCCACGCAGACATGGGGAGAATATGCAAACTGCACTCGGGCTGTTGCCCAAGGGTGGAATCGAACCTGGGTCCTTGGTACTGTGAGGCAGCAGTGCTAACCCCTGAGCCACCGTGCCACAGCAAACTTTGATGGAGGGAGTGAAAGCACTGTGGCTAAATTTGCTGACGATACAGAGGTAGGTAGGAAAGTATGTTGTGAAGATGTTGCTGGAAGATGGAGATCAATATAGATTGGTTGAATGTAGGGCCAAACTCTGGCTTCGGAGTATAATGTGAGAAAATGCAAATTTATTCAATTTGACAGGAGGAATAAA